GATGGCAACTGCCCTATAGCAAAAACTTCTCAAAAAAAAAAAAAAAGATTTTCTAAAGATAATACTGTTGAGGAAAGAAACTCTTTTTTTTTTCTTTTGCCATGGGGTGCTGTGTGTTCACCAGAGAGAGACAATGAGAGGGAAAGTGAGAAGTCGTCCACCCTCACCCCCGGGATGGCCATGCCACAGTCCCTTCTCCTCTGTTCTCATTTTGAGATTCTGGGCACGCATGCACACACACCCAGCATGATTTTCAAGCTGCCAGGTCCAGAGCTTGAACTGTGGTCAGCCATGTGGGAGTCTAGCACCTTAACCGTCATGGAAAGGAAGTTTCAAAGTGTACGCTCTGGGGACCAGCACATGGTGTGATGGTTACATCACTGGACTCCCATGTAGTCGACTGCAGTTCAGATCCTGCACCCGGAGACTTAAGTCATGCTAGGTGCGTGCGTGCCCAAGATGCTGAGAGGAGAATGAAGGAGAAGGGACTGTGGTGTGGCCATCCCCCGGGGGTGATTTCTCACTTTCTGTCTCTCCATCTCTCTTTGGCGAGCACACATGCTCTATAGCAAAAATCCTGTAAAAATAAATAAGTAAGTGTACACTCTGGCTTCTATTCATAAGACAAGGAAGATGGCTTTTGTAGACAGGTCAAGCTATCTCAAAGCATGAGCGAAACATCGCCACATCACCAGGATGTGGAGCAGCCCGTGTTCATGAAGGAGCGCTTCCCCTGCTGGGGACATCAGGGGCCTCTTCTGTTAGTTCAGGCTGGGGGAAGCCTGGCCCTGGCAACTAGGCTGTCCTGAGGCAAGAGGACAGAGCAGACCCTCAGCCAGCGCCGGCCATGGAGTACAGCAGGTCTGCTTGTGTAGGGGTGGGTGGGGCAGAGGGTGGGCTGTTTGAGAGGAGCCAGACCAATGAGCAAGTCTCTCACTCAGGATAGAGTTTTGAAGAAACTGTAGGAGAAGCCGTGTCATGGCCACTGTGGCCCACCTCCTGGCCAAAGTCAAAGTGTCCCTGCAGGGCCAGCGCCAGCTGTGGCAACCACGGGCACTGGGCACTGGGCACTGGGCGCCCTGCCACCCCTGCCCCAGTCAGGCTCTGCCGCTCAGGCGCCCCTCCCTCTAGCTCTGGGACCATGCTGAGAGAAACCTCCTCCCGTAAGGGCCAGGCCAGGGCCCCTGATCACACCGCTGCCCCTCCTGGCCTGGACTTCGGGCAGGTAGTTCATTCTCAGAGCCCCAGGGCCTGCTCCCCACAAAGCAGCAGGACCTTCTGCTGGCACGCAAGCTGCCTGCCTGGCCCACAGACCTCAGGCCCCACTGCCAGGAGGCTGAAAGCTAAGATACCACTTGACAGCAGACGATGGAAGTCACCTCGGAGTGCACCAAGTGAAGACAGACACGCCGTGTCGATGCCGACAGGTCTGGGGAGAGGCCCTGCTGTCCGGCCTAGCTGAATACAGAGGCTCCGCCCCAAGGGCTCGCTTCACCCTGGCACACACTGCTCCCAGATGGCTTCTCCCCACCCAGCCCCAAAGTGACAAGAAGGCACACCACCCAGCAGAAGGCAGGCCCCCTTTCCTCCTGTTTCCCTGTCTCGGAGTGGGTCGTGAAGGGCCGGGCGTAGACCATGTGCTGACCACAAACCAGTGCCTGAGTCAATGGGGACCTTGTGGCTGTGTGTCCAGGCACAGGCCACTTCCCTCCCAAAGGACTCTGCAGGGCCGGTCCCCAAAGCCGGGCTGGCAGCTGCCACGCCACGGTCCCCCATGGGCACATGACTCGCTAAGATGGGCAGCTCTGGGCCATGCTAGGACCTGGGCTCCTGCTGTCTCAGGCTCCCGGCGTCCTGGTGCTTGCAGAAGGCCTAAGGACATGGCCTGTCCCCAGTCGGCTACAGATGGCGGAGGCCAGGCTGGAGGGCCAGGGCCAGCCTCAGCCAGGGCCTTTGCACCGCCACTTCTGTGCTGTCCTGGCAGCCTGCTCGGCTCTGGCCGGCTCTGTCCTCACTCATCCTGCTCCTAGCACCAGGACCTGCACCAGGTGGGTGCTCAGGCCACGGGAAGGAAGGGCAGAGTGAAGCACAGCAGCCCTGCCTGGGGGAAGGTGGGCGCTCCCGGGTCCACGCTGCTGTTTCCCAGGAGCACCTTGAGCCTCAGTTTCCCCAACGGCCCAGGGGTGCAACAAACACCCCCCAGGGCCTGACTGACCAGGGAGAAAATGCTTGGTCTCCAACACAACTGGGGAGGGTCTGTTTAGAATTTCAGGATTTTTAAGTTAAAAAACAACCAGATGGCTTCAAAGTAGCCAAAGTGGGCCTCTTCCCGTGACCTTCCCCAGGAGACCAGGGGCCAGAGGGGCCAGAGGCAGCAGGGAGGGGAGGGGACACTAGGGAGCCAGGATCTCATGACTTGGGACTTCAGCTCCAGGCAGGGTGGAGGGGCTTGGGCCTGGCCCCTGCCCAGAGGGGGTGGCTTCCAGTGTTGCCTCCCACTTTGCTCAGGACTGGGAGAGTCCCCGCCTCCACATTCCGGCTCCGCAGTAAATCCCTGGCTTGAATTCTTCTGCCAAGGCTGTCCAGTTTCAGCAAACTCCCGTTCCCTCTCCAGGGAGCCTCGGCTTGCTCATCCCAGCGTGCTGCAGGTCCTTCCAGGCAGAGGGGTCCTCACCGACTGCGGATCGCAGCAGGGTCCCCTTGCGCTCGCGCATCTCAGCCGGCTGTGCTCCGCGCCTTACGCGGAATGACTGCTCCTCACCGCTAATGGTTACCCCCATTTTACAGACGAAGAACCAGTACCGACGAGCGGGTCCCAGGTTCCGCGCTGTCGGCGGCTGGCGGGGGGCTGGCATCGGCCGTTTGCTGCCGCCGGATCCTGGAGCCCACCTCGGGGTCCACTGTCCGATACCCTCGCGTTACTGTCCGGACTTGGCGCCTGCTCTAGTGCCCTACTCTGGTTCCTGGGGGACCCGATCCCCGCCGTTGTCACTACACCCGGGGGCCAATCGGGAGCAGGCAAGTGGGAGGAGACCCGCCCCCCTTCTCGGAGGGCTCGGGGCTATAAGGGCTGGAGCCCAGCCGCCGAAGCCCGCGGAGCGCGAGGGTGCTGGGAGCCAGAGGGTCCGCAGGGCGCAGGGTCGGAGCCGTGGGCCGTGAGCAGTATGTGGGGTGTGTGCGCGCCCGCCCGCCTCTGCTCTGCTCGGGGGCGCACGGTCTGAGGGGCGCCTCCGCCGGAGAGCGGGGGCCGGGGACCCGGACGGGGGCCAGTTCTGCTTCTGTCCCAGACCTGGGCGCTTTCATGGCCAGGCCTGCCTTTCTCATCCCCAGTCCCGCGTGAGTGCCTGGGGGAGGTGGGGGTCCGGTCTTGGGCCTGGACCCCCGCAGCACAGAGGTGTCCCCGGCCATGTCGGTTGAGGGCGCTTCCCCCGAGCGGCCCACGAAGGCGCAAGCTCGCGCATCCCCGGCTTGGGTGTCCAGTTCGGGTTGGACACCCGGGATTGGGTGCTCGCCGCGCCCGCCGCGGAAGGCCACGCTACCTGCACCCGCCCCGCGCTCGCCCGCTCGCTCTGCAGCTCGAGAGCAGCCCCTGGTGCTCGGGAAGGGCCTGCGCTCCTCCCCGCGACCCGAGGTGAACCTCCTTCCCTGGAAGGGTTGAGTTCGCGTCGCCGCTTTGCTGGAAAGAGTCCGCGCGGCGCCCCAGAAGCAGCCCAGAGGGAGCCGCGCTAGTGGCGGGAGCGGGAGGGGCGCCAGGC